TTACATCTTAATATTAATCATGTAACAATTCATTTTATTATATTAATAAAGATCATGAGAAATGCCTCACTTAACATTAAAAAAAAGTATTACTGTTTTCATTATTTATAATTTTGATATTCTTACTTGAATTTTGATTAGATTTTATTTTGACTATTATTAAATTTACTTGGCTTTAATGATTTTTATTTAGCTTTTTATTACTTATTAATAATAATTAGGCTTTATATAGGTCCATATTTTTAAGTTTTATGGAATATTACTATTGGATTATGTTTTAAAGTATCAGATTATAACATATTAGTTTAAGAGTTGATTTTTTTTTGGAATATGTCATGAAATCTATTGTGCCAGGAAGAAATATGGACTTTTTTTTATAGAAATTAAACCAGAAGTCTTTTCTTATGTAATATTTTCTGCTTTAATCTGTTTTTAGTCCATAATTATTAAAAACACCAAAGGTTTTATTTTTATGCAATTTAACTAAACTTGAAAATTGATTTCTAGCTGATTGAATGTAACATAAATTGGAAGCTGGTTAACCAATAATGATATGATAAATTTTTGTAACCAGATAGATTTGAATTCTAGACATTTTTCTAGTTACATAGGAAGTATTACTACTATGCTAAAAATCTATAGATCTTTATATATAAATTTTTTAGATAATTCTTTTACTAAACTACTATTTAACTTATATAAGTTGAAAAATATAGATTTTATTGCTGTATATTTTTTATATATACTAAAATAAAGAATTAACATTTATTAAAACCAACTTTATTATAATTTTATAAGAAAAAATAAATATAAAATTTTTTATTTTATTTTTAATGTGTATTTTTCTTTTGAAAAATTCTATCAAAACCAATAAATTTAAATAAAAGAAAATGACAAACCAAACAAGGTTAATATTTAATCAATTTTCAAACAAACAAAGAATAATTTTTAAAAAAATTTTTTATTATTATTAATAAAACTATTTTCATTTCTAATATTAATTTATAAAATATATGTTTTGAGTCATCTTGATACTCTTGAATGAAAAAATATCACCAATGCAAAATTAAAAACAAGCCTACAGTTGTACCGATTATTAATCCAATTAACACTAGCAATGGCATTGCTGGCTGCTTATTATTGAATGTAGTGGTTGACTGATTAACAGACGTAACAGATAGTTGATAAATAAGTAACACCATCTGCTAAGCTGACCTTTGCAACTTTGGGATCTCCATCAATATTGACTTCAGTAGAAATGTGATGCGAAGAGGACTCGATTGCCTAAATAGATAAAGTCATCCTACATTTTTACGTTAAGATCGAGGTAATAGCTGGTTGAACTCGAATAAGAAATTGAATCTCGAACGAGTGCATTGTCACCAT